ATATTGAATAATACTGGCCCCAGTACTGGCCTGGCGTTCTCATGTTTAACAGACAGCTGCCAATAACCCACTTAAAACAGCCCAAAAAATACAGGACAGCGCCACACCATACAAATAAGGACTATTTCTAAGCTGAACACTTGGGCCACAGAGAGCTGAACATCCCCTGTTAAAAACAGAGCTAAGATGACAAGAGCTTGGAGGCAAAAACTGCACCTTTGCTGGTCGTGCATGAAATCAAGTGCAATACGCTTTGGAGGACCACTATGTCCATGGCTGCTGCCTTCAAAGACAATCTAGTTCACTGCATTTACTTCAGAAAAATCTCAAGTACTTCTCTCTACAGACAGCTGGAAAAAGGTACTAAATACGTATGAGCGCATACACACATTTCGATGTGCAGGTACCAGTCTATTTTGTGGTGTGGCAGTCAGGAGGGACACTGTCACAGCCCCTCCGCTCTCAGAGCGCATACAGAGATCTTTACAATCACTTACAGACCCTCGGAGAAACAAGATGGGAACTCTGGTGCCAAACTTCTCTTCCAGGGCACTGACTGCAGACAGCAGCAGAAAGGCTTGCTTCCCAAAATCCTGCAGACCTCCTTCTGAGTCACTGGAGGTGGCAAAACCAGAGGCTCTGAAACACAAGTTTAACACACATACAAATCATGTCCCCTCCTCTTCTTCCCGATGTCGTTTGACAAGTGATAACTACAAAAAATACACATTTCAAGTTACGTTTATAGAAACGATTAACGTGCTTTGAAGTGTAAAGAACTAGGGCTGAAAACATAAGACCAAGTCAAAATCACTTGTGGTTAAAACAGCTGCCCAACACGACAACAAGCAGCTCTTCTGTCACAGGCAGTACCATGAACACCACTGTCTTACTGATGTTCTAAGCTTAAAATGTGAATATTTGGACTGTTTCAGGCATCGAAGAGATGTCTTCAATTGCACCTAAAAGCAGTAAGGTTTTTTTGTTTGCGGTTTTTATTTTTAAATAAACGCAACGGGGGTGGCAGGGGGAAGCAGAAGGAAAGAACAACCCTGTTAAAGACTTCCTAGAGTTTGTTATTGCACATATTTCTGAGTGGAAGACCTTATAAGAAATTACTGGCACAAGACCCTTCAAAGGAGGAGATAAAGGACTATGATCCATTTCAAGTGATTTCAGATCTGCACCACAAATTCACTACATGAATCACAGAATTACTGAGGCTGGAAAAGACCTCGGAGATAATCAAGTCCAGCCTACACGGACATGGCTCTTGACCAACAGAGCAACTTGACTGCAAAGGCTGAAATTATGGTCTCTCAAGTCCAGATCTTGATTAGTTTTAGTAAAAGCCAGACAAAGATTCCCAAATCCTTGCTTATGCAGGTAATCTGGCTGAACTGATAGCACTTTTCCAGAGAGCAACGCAGCGTAACATCTTGTCTCTGAGCAGGAAGCATCAAGCTACCAGCGAGAGCAAAGAATGATTTTATTGTAGCTTCAGGGAAAGCGCACGTCTGCACACCAAGGAAACACAGCAAGGCGTTTCTACTCCTACCTGTGTGACTACAGAGCTCTCAGCTTCCCTTCAGCACATCTGGGAGACTGTTAGCAACGCTACAAGGAACATACGTCAGCACGCACCGTAACAGGAGAACGCCTCTCTTACCTTGTGTCTAAGGTTAAACTGCCAGCACGTTACCTCACTGCACTTGCAAGTGTTTCCTTGCAGGATTTATTACCTAACAGGATTTAAACTGTGATGAAGAAAAGTGTATTTCTCAGCGTAAGTGTTGCTCTAAAGCCTTTCAAGAGCTGTGACCCTGCTTTCTTTACACGCTTACAGATTATAAACTGCCTCACAGGTTGCTCAGCTATTGAGGAGGTTAGAGACAGTCATTCAGATGCAAAGTTCAGGCTGAACAGATGCAAAATCAGATGCACAAAGAGTCGATTATTTCAGATAATTTGCTTCTTAAGTCAGCCCGAGAGAACATAACCTCCTGTGTCCTGAGAGAACATAACCTCCTGTGTGAGGCTTTAGGGAAGAACGCTTACCTGGACCTGCAATTATCGCAGCATTCTTCTGTGCCCATGATGCCAGACGAGACCTTTCGGAGTTGTTTGTCTTCAAAATGAGACAGGATGATTCTACCCAAGGGAAGGTAGGGAATTAAATAAAAAGACTAAGAATTTACACCTCAACTTTACTGCAGAAAACAGAGTTGAAATCAGCAGCGTTAATTAATCCACCAGGGAGCCAATTATTTGGCCTTGATTCCTCTAAAGAAAAGTTGCATTATTTTTTTTTTTTTTAAAGCAAATAAGGAACACTTTATATATCTATAAATACGCTGAAAACCATATTCCTTCATACTGCTTTTTAATATAGAAGAGCACATTGGCTGAACACACCACGAGTAAATGCAGCCTTCCGGTTACGACCTCCAGTTGTGACAAAGTCCCAGCGGCTCCTATCAAAGCTGCCTGAAGTTAGATAGAAAATGAAGTCAAAAGCAGCACTCACTTCCTCCTGCAGCTGTGTGACACGAGGTACTGCTCTATTTTCGCCAACATCTTCAGTTTGTAGAGCCGGAAGTTTTCGTTGCGTATCTCGTTTAGAAGATGCCTGCCAGCCCAAAAGAAAAATCCATTCACTTCAATGCTGACCACTATTCCCCTGTCCTACACTGGAAATTAAATACATCTGACAATTGACTCAGTCAAGTTCAACCAAAACAGCTAGAAAAATAAATATCCTACTAAAACCAGACCCAAACTGCCTGCCTGTTTCTCTTGATCCTCATAGAGCACCATATTCATACTCCTAAATACAAAGATTATTTTATATGGGGTAAAAGGAGAGACAGAGAGCTTCTTCCCAACACCCAAGCCACAGAAAGCCATGCCAGAAGGCACAAAGCAGGGAGCAAACAGTAAAGAAGTGCCCAATTTCACAGGTTCTGATGACACAAGTTCAAATGTCCCAGCTCAGTCATTTCTGTGATCCTGTACCAGCTACAGACAACATCACCATGAGACCTCAACAGTCAGGACTCTGCCATCCAAAAGGAAAACGGAAAAAATTCACCATTTAGACCTCTAGATAAAGGACATAAACAAGTAATCCTACAGCATCAGCACTCTTAAGGGGTGCTGATGGGTCTGAAAACAAGGTCAGATGATTTAGAAGACAAGTGACCAGGTTTTACCACTGCTGCCTTGCAAAGCTTCTTCAGAAAGCAGAACCGAAACAAGGACAAACTCGTTAACATCAGTGCAATTGTGGACTGGCTTCCAGTAAAAGCATAAGGGACTTAGAAATGCGTGTGGGCAGGAAAGGGGTCAGAATTTTCTACCAAACCTGCCCCGCTCCTCTTTCTTTTTGGCATGTTTTGGCAATCTGCACCAAAACAGCCGTCTTCAGTCACTTACCTGTTAAAGGCCAAGTCCGTCACAGCCCACAAAACGTGACAAGAAGCAGGGAGCCCATCACGACCAGCTCTCCCAATTTCTTGGTAATAGGATTCCATTTCCTTGGGGGCACCATAATGAATAACAGTCCGGATATCTGCTTTATTGATGCCCATGCCGAACGCCACTGTAGCCACAACACACTACAAAACAGGAACCACACGGTGAAATGACCGTCAGGAATATGCCTGGATTCACGTTTACACACCTCATGACAACTTCTCGTCGCAGACTCAACTCAGCCTAGATGACAACGGCTTCAAACTCTAAAATTATGTATTAAAAAAAGCCAAGCGGGCTTAGCTTCCTACACACCTGAATTTCATCCCTGACGAACTGGTGATGGGTGTCTCTCCGCTGTTTGATTCCCAGACCGGCGTGGTACGCACCACAAGTCACATTGAGTTTCAGCAGTTCAGACATAACCTGTCCGGTGGCCTTTCTCGAAGGGCAGTAGATGATAGTGGGGCCTTCAAACTCGTACGCAGAACTGCTATAAATAACAGGAACGTGTCAAGAGACAGAACAGAAACGGCCGCCCTTCTGTAAAAAGTCAGACAAAAAAGGCAACACAGCTTCTCCAGCAGTTGGTCTTTGCAGGGACTTAGGAATTTAAACAGATTTTAACTGGTCCGCTTGTACACAAGGGGTCTGTCCTTTGGAAAAATGGACCTAGAAGTTATTTGGTACTGGGACGTTTATTTTGCAAAACACAGATGATTTTCTAGGTAGAAGTAGCCAGATAAGGCCTGCCAATTCCCCTAAACCCACCAGGAAAAGTACTTCCACAGCTGTCACTTTTGAAAGGTCTAAATATACCTAACAAGGTACAAATGAGAGATGGGAAATTAATTTCTAGTGCTGTAGATGCACACATTGTAGTTTGGACAAGGAGAGGAAAGGGGCAGAAAACCAACCTCTTGAGTGCACCACGGGACCAGTGGATACACTGGGGTGTATCAGGAGGGGGGTGGTTGTAGGGCAGAGAGGTTCTCCTCCCCCTCTACTCTGCCCTGGTGAGACCACATCTGGAATATTGTGTCCAGTTCTGGGCCCCTCAGTTCAAGAAGGACAGGAACTGCTGGAGAGAGTCCAGCGTAGGGCTACAAAGATGATCAAAGGAGTGGAGCATCTCCCTTATGAGGAGCGGCTGAGGGAGCTGGGTCTCTTTAGTTTGCAGAAGAGGAGACTGAGGGGAGACCTCATTCATGTTTATCAATATTTAAAGGGTGAGTGTCACGAGGATGGAGCCAGGCTCTTCTCGGGGACAAACAATGATAGGACAAGGGGTAACTGACACAAGCTGGAACACAGGAGGTTCCACTTCAATTGGAGAAGAAACTTCTTCTCAGTGAGGGTGACAGAGCACTGGCCCAGGCTGCCCAGAGAGGTTGTGGAGTCTCCTTCTCTGCAGACATTCAAAACCCGCCTGGACGCCTTCCTGTGTAACCTCATCTGGGTGTTCCTGCTCCGGCAGGGGGATTGGACTGGATGAGCTTTTGAGGTCCCTTCCAATCCCTAACGTTCTGGGATTCTGTGTCTGTGTGATCTGCTAACAGAAAAGGACTGCAAGTCTTCTGCTTCAGATGGGCTTTATTTAAAAAGCCCAGTCTTAACTCAGATTTATGACTAAGACACATTTTGTACAACACTGTTTGGGAAGTTACCCATCAGCCGCTTCATTCAAATCGCTACAGTGTCAGCTCGGAGGAGAAAATCATCCTAAAAATCCTTCAGTTCCCTCTGAGAGATCAACAGAAACAGGCTTCAAACCCTTACCTTCCTTTCCTAGTAAGGAACTGCTTCAAATCCCTAAGGATATTGCCACTTTGTCGTCCGACCTCCAAGTACAGGTTCGGTCTGTCAAAACTCGTACACGTCACCTGGGGACTCCTCAGGTTCAGGCACTTCACGATGTCTTCTCTGATCGATGGACTCGCGGTTGCAGTTAAAGCCACAATGGGAATCTGCAACGAAGAGCAGAAGGAAGTCTGAGACTTCTCACTGATTTTTATTAACAAACAGCAACAAAATCATTAACTCCATTTAAAAACAGCATGTAAACAGGCACCTGAATCTGCTTACGATCGCTGAATCAGCTCAGCTAGTTGGAAAACACAGTTAATATTTAGCTTCCAAGAGTTTTGCTTTACACCGGTCAGGACAGCAGACAGGGACAAGACGCTGTTTAAATTAAGAGTTTTCTTCTCAATTCACATTTTCTTCATTTCTTGGCTGAATTTAGGGAATATAGGACAAAACTTCCAAGAGGATCTGTAGTTCAGATCTAAAGTTTTGGAGCTGATGCAATAAAGTCTTGAGAAGTGTCCAGAAACCACAGCTGCTTGCTCTTGCAAGCCATTTTTTTTTCTTTAAAAAAATCCCTTTATATTAAATTAGAAGCTTAGGGACAACATCTTCCAGAGTATAGGGATCCAAAGTCACCAGTTTTCAGAAGTTGCTGGTAGCTCAGGTTCAGAATATCCTCCACTGAAGCATTTGGAGGAAAAAAAAATCCATGAAGTTCTAAAAACTCCAAAGCAGCATGGTAAGTACACCCAAAGAGCAACGTCAAAAGGTAAAACTATCAAACTACTACACAAAATGACCTCGTATCCTTCTCTTGTACTGGAAATCAAGCGTATCCAAACCTCACCGATGGCAGAGCGTTCTTTACCGAGCCCAAACGTCTGAAGGAATTTCTGAAGTCGTGGCCCCACTCCGAAATGCAATGAGCTTCATCAACAGCTATGAGGGTAATACCTAGCGGGGACAAAACCACAGCGTGGACACGTTAACAAGGCAAACCACCGTGAGAAGTTACAGAATACAAACACCACATCCCACTCAATTGCAGCCTTTCCTGAAAAGGCTTAAATTTCTGTTTCTAGGGTGCTTTCTGCTGTACCGACTCCCCAGGCCCATTCTGCAAAAAGGCCCGACAGCTTTTACAGACTTCCCCACCACCACCTTTGCTTCCTTCTCCAAACCTTCTCCACATTCCTCACAACAGGGCAAACTCTGAAGCTACTTCTGACAGGACCTTTTTCCTTCCTCACCTTTCCCAGACTTTCTTCATAATAGTCATGAATGCTGATTACAGATGTGATTAGTTTTACTTTCCAGATTGTAAAACGAAGTCTGAGAGTCTCAGAACTGGACTGAGGAGGTAAGTACAAGTCCAGAAGAATGAAGGGAGAGAGGTCAAAGATGCCCCTGGAAAATAACCTTATGTTTCCTGATTCAGAGGTGAACCTCCTCCATCTGAATACACATACCCCATTATAATGTGTGTTAAAAGTACCCTAGTGTCAGAGAGGCCAAGCTTACAGCTTCTCTTTTCGGTGACAAACAATGATAGGACAAGGGGTAATGGACACAAACTGGAACACAGGAGGCTCCCCTTAAATTTGAGAAGAAACTTCTTCTCAGTGAGGGTGACAGAGCAGTGGCCCAGGCTGCCCAGAGAGGTTGTGGAGTCTCCTTCTCTGGAGACATTCAAAACCCGCCTGGACGCCTTCCTGTGTAACCTCATCTGGGTGTTCCTGCTCCGGCAGGGGGATTGGACTGGATGAGCTTTTGAGGTCCCTTCCAATCCCTAACGGTCTGGGATTCTGCGATTCTGTGTGATTCTCAGGACATTCAGACTGCTCATCTTCTTCCTAAATAGTCCTGTCTGCCTACACCACCAGAAACTTGATTCCTTAATTTAAAAACAAAAACAGAACCTTGGAGTTCGCGCCTTGGGTTTGCTCTGCTCTGAGCAACGCATCAGCTGCATCGCTCTCTTTGAGAACAGAGGTTTTTAAGATGCAGTGCAGTGCTTCAAAACACAACTTCATTGTTATATTCGGAGAAAAACCAGAGATATCAGAATTCTTAAAAGGCAAAAAATACTGTTTAGTGATACACACTGACTTTCTGTGATACAAAGATCAGTGTGTTTCAGCACCTCTGTTGTTATAACCCATCTAACCTTGCCATGCCAAGGCCATGCTAGAGACAGGACTCGCATACAATCACCTTTCTGATCAGGACAGCAGTTTCTGACACGATTTATCCACAATCACTACGCTAACCTGTGAGCTCCCTAGCGATAACAAACTGGTGAGAAGTGTTCAAGCATTAGAAACGGTGTAATCATGAATTTAAGCTGCCAACTCGCCCACAACTTTATCCCCAACTTACCAATAGTTTGGTTGAGGTCCTGAAGCAGCTTTAAGTTGCCTGAGCAGAACTCTGGAGTCATATATATGACTCTGTACTGACCCCTGCAATATCAAGCAAATATACCATCACAGAGGGAAAAAAAACCTCAATTGAAACTAAACCATGATTGCCCAGATGATGTTATTGGGAACAAGTACAGACTTCTGGAAGCAAATCAAGACAGTAGCATTCAGACCATTAAGAAAGCAAGGCAGCAAACAGCATTACAAGGAAAAGGGGAACACCAGATTTCCCAAAAAAAAGGGAAACTAGCCTTTCTAACAAGAAGGGACAGTTAAGAACTTGGTGACAACTAAAGGTCTAAGAGCTGTGTAAAATCCTATATGAATCACAACATGAAGCCGAGCCCACAAGCCCCACTTCAGTCAGAGGGCACAGGGAGGCAGCTACACACATCCCACACACACAGCCTGGGTGAACACGAGCCATGTCCCTGACTGCCAGATCTAAGCCAGAATCAAGAGTTTCGGCAATGACAGATCAGGCAGACATCCACCTCTCTTAAATACCACCACGTCAGAAGCCACAGTCCCAGAAAGCTTCGCCAAGACTTACGCTTTGATGCCGTCTTTGATGTTGTTTGACTGAGCTGAGCCAAGCAGGCAGGCTGGAATCCCTGACATACTGCAGGAGGAGAGGAGAAAAGAGCAGAGTCATGAACAGATTTACTCCTCAATGCTTTCTGCCTTCGCTTTCAGCCTACGCCAGCGCTTCGTAAAGGAAATTCAAGCTGCGGGGTCAGAAACTTGCTTTCTTCCAAGGACTTCCGTGGGGAGAAACCTTTTGAACAGAACAGGAGTGCTCGGTGACTACTGCTGCCACCCAAACGCGCCTCAGCTTCCCCTGTGTACTCAACACACACACGCTTTATTAGTGCAGTAAGAAATCAGAGACATTAAGATCATTTCTCTTGCACAAGAGCTAAGTTTACTCAGAAAACATCCAAAATAAAGAGAACACAGTCAGTATATTTTCTTGAGCTATTATATTATTCATCACATTTGGATCTAAGCCTTCCTAGCTTCCACTATTTTTGCCTTGCCTTTCGGTCTTTTGCGAGCTACTGGTGCTTCTGATTTTCAATCAGGCGGCTGCTTTTTAATGACAGCTTCAATAGTTATGTTTACCAGCTCAGCCACTTCATATCTGACCTCTTCCAGAATGCTGCAACCCGTCCTCCTTACGTGGTGATTTACTGCATTATGTTACAGCCCTTTGTTTCGACAGTTTCTCCCTCTTCATTCCTCTGTTTCAGTCCTTAGCAGAACCGCACGCAGACTGACAGACAAATCGTATTAAGCCATAGAAATTCAGTCTCTCCAGCCTTCAAAATGAATGACCCACTGAGAAGGCAGTGAATAAACTCCGAGTAAAACAGTTCAAAAGCCAAAGAAGCAGCTGAACACATACAGACACCCTGCTGATTAATACTTAGCCTAAAAGCTGGCTATAGCCAGCTCTGGCTGTCCAGCCATTCATGATCTGCAGCAGAAAATGCCACACAATTGATGCTCCTTACTCGAAATATCTTCATATCCCCTCTTTCACAAAAGGCCTAAGGTAGACAAGGCAGGACTGAACTCAGCATGCTTCCCACAGACTGTACCAGTCAGTGGCTTAAGCTAAAAGCATCAGAAATTAATAGCTGTTGTAACGGAAAACCTGTACGCGTACAGAAAGCATTAACAGGTACTGAAATCAAAGATTTACCCTGACCGCAGCTGTAACTGCTCATGTAAGACTGATTCAGTGCCACCCCTTAGCTCCTACATCAAACCTTTCAAGGAACAAAGAGGTCAGGCGTGAGGAGACCTCCATCTTCAAACGCTGTGCCATGACTTTGATCTGAGTGGCCCACAGCTCCCAGCTCTGTGTTGCTCTGGTGTTACTTTTCAGCCTCAAAGGAAGCCCTACCGAACTGTGACACAGCTCTCGGAGGCTCAACGAGCCTGTGAAGCTCCTGTACCGTTTGGTCTGTGCAAAACCTGCCTGTGAATCCAGAAATGCTTAAGAGGGATCCACCTTCACGAGCCACCCACCAGCACAGACCCTTCACAAATTCAGCTTGCGGTTCACGTGACTGCCAAATCCAGTCATCTTGAAATGATTTATACAGCTTGCACGTGTCCCCCGAGAAATGTACGTTTCACAGCTTGCTGTACGAAGCTACAACCCGAACCCCAACAAATGCCACAGGCAGAATCCGTGGGTTGCCACAGGAAATACAGCGGCAGTCTGTTACTACCGCTCTACTTACGTCAGCTGCAGCACCTGGTCCTCCATCAGGGAGATAAGAGGACAGATGACTACCCCTGTAGATCCAGTGTAAACAGGAGGAAACTGGTAGCACAAGCTCTTCCCATACCCTTAAAAAGAGGCAGAAAGGAACCGTTATGTTTTCTACGCAGCTATAATACCCAGCTACATCAGATGACTCTAACCTCTTGTTGAGCCCTAAAAAAAGAAGGGTGATGTTTGCTCTGCTAGCAGAGGAACAAAGACGCAAGATAAATAAGGTCAGCATCCATTCAATACCCCTCTCCACGCCAAGGTCAGTGGCAAAGACTAGGACAGAAATACAAGTAGCAAGCGTAGCTGGCTCAGACTTGGTGTCAATCAGGGCACCCTGCTCAAATGGACAGTCTCCAAGTTTGGCTCTTGCTTTCCCCAAAAAGGAAAGCGTTTCTCCCCGTTTCTGAGGATGCAAAGGTAACTTACCAGTTGCCATGACAACAAGATTATCTCTTCTCTCTTCTAACACAGAATTGATCACTTTCCACTGGACCCTTGAAATTAAACAAGAGAAATCTTATTTTTGCCACCACGCATTAGAAGATATCAATTCTGTGAAATTGAATTTCAGGTTAAAAAAAAAAACCCTCCCGGCTGCCTTACGGCTTTCTCTTTGCACACTGCAATCACCCAAATACTCCAGGTACTGCAGGCAGTCCCACCAGTGTTGCATCTCCACCAGGACCAAGCCAGGCAGCACTCGATGCAGAAATTCGCAGAAGATGGCAAAACCAACCGTGTCTCCTATCTGTTAATAACTGATCCACAGGCACTGTGAAAGCTACAGCTAACTTCAACTCAAGAGATTCTGGACAGAACCTTGATTTTGCCAAGCAATTTTCATCCTTTTTATGGTCTCGCAGGTGTAGGTAAGGAAGTGCAATGAATTCAAAAGAAAAAATCCACTCATTGCCTAAAGTTCACAGAATCACAAAATATCACAGAACATGAGGAG